ACGTATTATGAATAAAACAATTGATTTCTATTTTGATATTCTAAAGTGCGTATTTTTTTCTCCTTTAGAGTTTTTTCTCCACAGCAGAACAAGAAAAAGCATTCATGTCAAAAGTTGCATTGATACTGTGACATGCGCATATGTGCTATTAGTGCACGTTAAATTTAAAAGTGCGGTCATATTAATTTTGATTTCCGTTTTGTTTAGAAAATATTTTGATATAACTGAAATAACAATTGAATTCTATTTTTGTATTTTCAATCTCAAAATCTCGCTATTTAGAGGTCTAATTTTTCTTTTCAAAATTTCGATTACAGTCAAAATTGTTAAGCTATGATAATTAAAATTACGTATAATTCCCAAAACGATTTAGATTTTAGCTGAATCGAAATCTAATTGAATATTTGCTAAATTCAGTAAACAATAATATGAGATTTGTGATGTTGAATCACTAAATAATAGTAAATTTTTGAACCGAAACTCATTGTTAAATTTTATGACAATTCAATTTATCAATAACAATAAGAATTCTAACAACTAGCATAATATTTGCTTTAGATAATTCCTATTGAACACACGAACTTAAAAAAAATAGTCATGGCAAAAATACCTGACTTGACAAAAAGATATTTTCGAAGTTGGTTATTATCGTTGTTGTTGAAGTGAAGTACATGTATATATTCTCCTGATTTAAACATATGCAATCATTGTAAGGTAAAAAGGTATAAAACCCAGGTGCGAGTGTGTACTAACATTTTGTCGCATGGTTCTATCACCATTTCAATGTCATTTTTTGGAGAAGACCAAATACTAGCAACTCTAACAGCATAACTTTTGTAATACACGTGTATTACATTACAACATTTAATGAACATTTTGTGAATTACGCACAAACCACCAAAAATTCTTCATTGGCGTTTTTCATTTGTTAAAATCTTTTTGTGTCAATCACTTGAATGTTGAGATTATTTTTGTTACACTATTTAGTAAATTACAATCTATAATGCTTCCGATACTCCGTTATAACAATGACTAACCAAAAAAACCCATAAAATCAACGATCTTTATAATAAATCCTCGATATTGGCGGAATTTTTTAATTGTCCAACCATATTGGGATCTCGAAGTTTGACTGTATGCGGTTAATGAGATTGTAATTTAGATACATAATCTATAAGATCATTTACTTATATAACATGCGAATATAGCATTACAGGGTCCAAAACCACAATTGGATTATATTTTTTTTTGTGCTGAATTTTAAAAGCCAAGTTCAATCAATTCTTAATATATCAAGTTTCTTTACAAAGAAATGTGTTGTAATCCAATTAAAGATTCTCTTTAAACTTTATTGTTTTATCATCTACGTATTACTTTAAGTTGCACTATCAAAAAAAAATGTCAGAGATCATTAATAAATACATATATGTAAATTTTCTAAAAGTCCGTTAGAAATATTACTTCCTTTTAAACGTTTCTGCCCAGCTTCTTCTCAACAATCAAATGAATTAAAAATTGTTAAATCCTCTTGTTAGATATGTCCCAATAACGTTATGGATAGATAAATCATTCTATCTGTCACATGGTTGCAACTAGTTGCAACCATGTGATACACCACGTTGTAACTAATTGAGGGCCATCTCTAGTTTCTTTCCTTTATACACATTTGCTGTATACTCAACAACAAAGAACTCTGGAAATGGTATTTCTTTTTTTGCAATAGCTCGTGTCTTTGCGTTAGAAAATACTCCTTCTAACAGTGTTGGTACAGCAAGATGTATGTCAGATAAAATCAAAGGTCAAAAGTGGTATATACGCCGTCTGCACTTTCGAGAAAAGGAGACCGAAATCCCATCGATAAAGCCATAGTTACTGGCATCTTCTGTTGTAACAGATGCATCAAAGTCATTAAGTACAGACGTCCTGCGGGAGATTTACAAAAAAACTAGAAACATATCTTCTTGTCTCTCCATGTTTCAAACCACTCCACCTCATCTAAACATAATATAAATAATATGTATTAATGTAAGAATATAACTGAGAACACAAATAATAAATCTCGTGAAAGATGATTCAGGTGAAACTTTTACTACTATTCCTCGATAAAGAGGAAAATTTTGCATATTTGTTGCACCTCCATTTGGCACCGAAAGGGGATCTTTGAATAGGTGGATGAATTTACATACTTGCTGTGCGCACCATGATAGAAGAGGAAAAAGCATAAGTGAATGCAAAAGGAAAAGCGCAAGTTAGTCAACGTTAAGTATTACATATTTGACCCGCTCTACTTTATGCTTTTGAAAGACAAATACACGCATCACCAACCTATTTGTAGAATGACTTTAATCGGAAAAAACTTTGTTATTCACATTATTCAAGTAACTCTTCACTTAATTAGCTTTCTCACGGGAGTCAATCTAGAGGGCGCACATTCTATCTTTTCTTTTTCTGCGATTTTTCTTTCAAGTTTCTAAATACTCGGCTCATCAAGGTCGAGTTCCTTATAGCGAATTCTTGATTTACGTTTTCAACTTCGACAGGAACACGGTCAAACTTTTCTATTTGTGTAACCTAAAATTTTGTGCGCCACTATTAAAAAAACCTATTTACAAATAAAATAGCCGAGATAATCCACGCACATATACACAGTCTATTTATTGAGTCATTCAATAGAGCTTAATTTCAATAAATAATGTGACATGTACAACGAACAATCATCTGTGTAAAAAGTTGGGTCCCTTTTTCTTACATGAACGAAATAATATTATATATATATGTGTATATATATATACATTCTTTTCTTGTTAATAATTTTCTACTTCAATCCATTTTTCCGGATTTTCGCTCGTCTTCTATTTCGGTAAAACAATAATTTCAGAATTACATTTTGAATGAAGAGATGAATGAAGGGGAGGTATCTTTTCTAACAAAGCATAATACATTATCAAACCATTAATTAATATTCTAATGCCCAATACTATTAATTGTTCGTCACGAAATTTCGAGAATATAAGACTTCGAGAAGAATAAGAATTTTAAGAATAGAATAGGGAGAGGGAAAATCTACGATTCTTATGTTCGGAGTTTTGAATCAGAGAAGAAACAAAAAAAATGTATTTATTTATTTGCTATCGTCAGTTTATTATATACGACATTACACAATAGAATGTCGATTTTTACTTTTAAAGAAATAGAGAAAGAGGTCATTTGATTAGGGTGATTATGTTGATGTTAACGGTAATCAGAGTGAGAAAAATCTGTGTATGAATTCTGGTATGATGATATATCCTGTGTGTGCGTGTGTGCATGTATGCCCCATCCGCATCATTGAATATTTTAGCACAAAAAACTCCGTATTCGATGTGGTAAAGTAATGTAAATGGACAAATAAATAAGTATTATAAAATGAGTAAGAATCACTGACTGACTCTAATCATCTTAAATTCTTTCACCAATAATATGACGTATTAATGCCGTCATTTGGGGAAATTCATCGACTAACCAACGGCTTCCTAATACATTATATTATACATGAATGATTTATTCATTTCTAAATAAAATCTTTAATTAATTGTGACACAAATCCAAAATTTTTCTTGAATCAGATAATACACACACACACACACACACACACTTGATTATTCATGATTTTCATGATTGTCTCGAAAAAATTAATTTTTTTTTAGCGCGATACCCAATATCCAATGACCTAGTATCCTACCTAAGCCTCCAATCTAATTTTACCTAGAAGTTTATTCAATGGCCACATTATAAAAAGTTCGCTGCGTATTTGGTAGACAAGGGTGATGATACACAGATCTATCTATTCCGCTTCGAAAATTGATGCTACATCATCATTATCATCATCATATTATCCATATTATTATTTACTTTTTTATGTGTGTATGTGTCATTTTTCCATTTTTCCATTATTATTATAAATTTTCTATTTGCTTCTTTATTTATCCCCTTTTATATGTGCACAAAAATGCCCCGTGCTTTGTTTACGTGCCATAATATCTCCAAAAAATTTTATTCATCACTTTTGCTTTCTCACTCACTCGCAATCTTTGGCTCGGTTAATCACTAACATTCGATACAACTAATAGCGATAGGATGAACAACGACATCAGAAATGATTACCAGTATAAAAATACCACTCTCCCTCGCATAAGTAAAACATCACATCCACAAAACGTTCGTCCAATTATCGGACCTTTAGAAGCCACCTGACGTAATTTTATTGGTCACAACTTTCCGAATAATTTGTTAATAATAATAATAAAAATAAAAAAATAATATTAATAACAATAATATTATTATTTTATTCGCAATAATCATCATCACCATCATAATAATAATAAATAATAATGATCAATATAAAGAGATAAAACGCCGCTCCCAAGAAATTTTCCCAAAAATTTTTTGGTGAGACCTTTAAAAACCTTTTTATAGCAGAACATTTGTCAAAAAAAGTTTTGGATTTGTGTTCAAAAATTTACAGCCCACCAACAACAACTGTCTCTTATCAATTAATTATAATCACTCGTATTTTTTTTCTCAGAAAATATTTCCTATCTCCCGCTTTTTATTTCTATTGCTTGCTTGCTACTATTCTGCTCTCTCAATCTTACTCTTACTCTTTCTCTTTCTCTAACAACAAACAAACAACTCACCCACAAAACACACACATACAAGTACACGCAGAACACACTAAAATACACACGGTGTTTTTTCTTTTTCGTACGCTAGCTTCCTATTACCTATTCTTCCTTTTCTCTTGTTCCGAAGTATCTAAATTAATTATTGCCTTTCACAACACGGAAACCTCGCTGTGCCTGGTGAAACCGTTCCGCTTTAAAACACACAAGCTTTCTCCCAGTGACCGCTCCTTTAGAAGATATCCATCACTTAAACCATAAAAATTTATTTATTATCGCTAAGGCTTTCGTCAACCTTCCTCTTCATCCCATAATATAATAAACGGTCACTTCCCCACCATGAGTTCCATCAGTATCAAGCAAGAGAACTCTGTTGAAAATTACAGAATGTATTCTTCTTCTGAGGAATACGGAAAATATAAAGGTAAATACTTTCTTGTAAAAAGTAATACTTACTATTTGCGCAGTAATAAAAGGCTAAACCCGTGTAATGAATGTATTATATAATATATAATAATGTAAAGTCGAACAACATCAGCATCCTCTACAAATGGTTGAACCACAACAAGTTGTGCAGAATAACGAAGAAAGTGTCCAAGTTGTGCCTCACAGTGATAAAGGACCGGATAGTCCAACCACTCCAGCGTCAGGAGCACTTTCAAAGACCACATACACCTGTAACCATTGCGCTAAAAAATACAAACACCGAAATTGTCTAGTCAAGGTATTCTTTAATTATCATAATAATATCTGGTCGGTCGATATTACATAATGGAATTGTTCATTCACACACTCGTCTCGTTTGTTCGCGTAGCATTTGTGGGAACACCACGAAAGTTGGGAACTTTGTCTCAAGTTTAATCTGACAAAGCACCAGCAAGTTCAGATGATGGAGGTGAGCTTTTTTTAGTGCCTTTTCTCGTGATAGTAATAGTGAAATTGATTGTCGTTGCTTTCATTTAATCAATACAATTAACATTGATCATCTTTCGTTTCATCGTAACAATAATAATAGGCAGCGCAAATCCTCGTTGATCTTGCTTGTATAAAACAACATTAATTTAATATAACGCATTCAAACAGCAGACATCTCCCCTTCTCCCATGTATATTTACACTTTCTTCTTTTATATTTTAATGCAAACCCAATTACATCTCGACGAAAGCTGCAGCAAGAGGGTCCAAATAATAATATTATTGTTATACGAACAATTTACTAGCATATATATATCTATATATCTTTTATATAGCTTATATATCTATATGCCTTTATTTCTCTTACATTGTCGTCATTGTCTCATTATTATTACTAGTTTTCACTATTACTACTGCTACAGATATTCCTCTTTACGCTTTCTCTGCTTTCTTCTATATTATATATTTTTCATTTTTCATCAATTTATATCCCCTTCTCCTTTTTTTCCCTTTCTATATATAAACACACATATACACACACATACATAATATTAAATTACATACAATACACGCACAGATAGTATTTGAATAATAATAATCGGCAAGTGCAAATCTCAGAGGAATTAGGACAGACATTTTTTTTAGAAGTAGAATAAATATTATACTGTGCTGCCCTATTTGTACATAGAGTGTCCCTTTTATTGTGTTGATGATATGATGCGATGAACGGGATGTGTAAAATTCCTCTCGTGTATGTGTCTAGCCATCACCAATATATATATATCTTTTTTATTTCTTTTTTTTTAATTTTATTTTCTTTATTTTATTTTTACTTCTCTTTTGCGCGCGCGCTCCCCTCCTTTTTTCTTTTTTATTAAGAAAAAAAAATACAATATAAATAATCTCCCTTCCCCGCTTTCTCTTTCATTATTCATCTCTTTCTTCTCTTGACTTAATACTACTATACACATTATACACCAGGCTTTTTATTATTTTTTTATAAA